CCCGCCGCCAATGGCGGCGCCGCCGCCCGGAGCTCGCCCCGCCGCCGCGCAGGACCGCCGCCGCCTGAGGACACCGCCCGGAGCCGCTCCATCCCGCGCCGGAGAAACCCTAGAAGGAGAAGGGCTGGGGCCGCCGCCACCAACGCCGCCCGGGCCAGGCCCGAGGCGGGCGCCGGCGACGGCGGCGGGGAGGAGGAGGAGGGAGGGGGACGCGCGCGGGGACGGAGGGAAGGCGCGGCCGGCCGCCCGCGGGGGCGGCGCGGTCGCGGACGAGAGAGAGGCAAATTCTATCTTAGCCCAACCATTCAAAAACTTGGACAGTTTTTGTAAGATGAAACTAATTCATTTGTGTTTCTTTCGGTGTGTTTGGTTCTCTAGCTAAACATGCCCGGCCAGGCAATAGGATTCTAGCTCACCCGAGGCATAGCTCATACAAGCAAGGCCACTTGTTTGGTTTATTTGCCTAGCCTCCACTAAACCACGATTACACGATTACAGCGGCAGTTACATGCTTAATATGCTTGTGTTCAATTCTTGCCGATGGAGGCAGAGCCAAATCGGCTCTCCTGTCCGGGCAAGGATTTTCTAGCTCACGCAGGCTAGTTTGCTAGGCAAAGCTAGCTTCTTTCTACTCCACCAAACAACTATCCTGGCTGGGCGAGGCTAGAGTAAGGTTTGCTTAAGATCCAAACACTTGTTACCAATTAGTCCTGGAGTTGTGGTTTTGTGTTACCTCAGCCCCAAAAGTTGTGTATTTGTGCAATTTCCTCTATACAGTTATACATCTTCCTTTCCATCAATGCATCGAGACGTAAGCTTTGCGTTTTCTTGGAATAAAAACCTTAGATGGCGGGAATAAGCACCTCCATTTTGGAGGCATCAATCTATTGAATGGTCCTAAGCATTTTTTTTATGCCTGTTTGCGATATCAGATTTTTAGCAATTGACACCGGTACCAAGTTGCTGCCGGTTCTCTTGTACAGACATGGCCAGATCTGGAGGGTCCCCGTATGCAGCAATCCTGCTTGTTCTGTGCATTTTCCAGGTGACAGACGTAAGGGGACAAAGCACTCACCCTATTGAAGGTAACCTCTAGTTAGTTGGAAGCTACCCTTTGGCTCCTGATTGTTCACTGTCGGCTTATTGCACGCTACCTTATTGTACTAGATCCCATTTTCTTATTGCACGCTCTGCTTGTGCAGATTTTGTTAGATTTATTTGTTTGTATGTCTGGACATCTTCAAGAGTTCCACAAGTAATCGGTTTTCTCAGTTTTCTCAAGATGTGATGTATATTCAACAAGTAATCAGTTAATAATCATGGACTAATCAAAGTAGTCTCCCATTTCTTTGCGTAATCATCGGGGGGAGAAAGTAGTTTCGCATTAACACGCATGATATCCTATTAGTTAGTAACCTAGTGGATATAAGCAAATGCTACAGAGATAATATTTTAATATTATCCCTCTGAAGATTGAAATTGTCTCTCCTACATGCAGCAAATGCTCTCAATGCTATCAAAGCCAGGTTAATTGATCCTATAAACAACCTTAAGAAATGGAATAGAGGAGATCCATGCACATCAAACTGGACAGGAGTCATCTGCCACAAGATACCCAGTGATACATATCTTCATGTAACAGAGTTGTATGATTAACACACCATCCTTATTTAAATAAAATTTCCCTTTTTCCCATTCCCATTCATGTTAATGGTTAGCTGCGATGTTTTTTTCCTGTGTAACAGTGAACCCTTTGCTGAAGCAATTAATATTGCAAGTTGCAACAAACTTCTGCTCACAGATAATGGCAACAGCCATAAAAGCCTAAAAAGAGCTACCAAGTTAAATTATAACTGAAATAGCTAGAGATCTTCCACATCTCCAATTTTCTTTTAAGGACATATCCATGGATTTCATATAAGTTTCTCCCATATTTTGTTGGACCAAAGGCTATAAAAGTCAAACTTTATTACTGAAACCTTATAAAGTCATTAAATCCCCCTCACACCCCTATTTAACATTGTTTTTAGCATTATCTGTACTGTACTGTACTCCTCTTGTTTACTGTTTCAGACCATGTTTGCAGTCCCTGGTCAAAATAATGGCCATTGGCTGATGCTTTTGTTGCTTACTCTATTTTGTGTCTTCAAATCTGTTTGTTATTCATTTAACTACCATTTCTGTATAATGCATAATATGTTGATCGGTTACCAATTACCATGTCATGTTCCGCTTAATAATGCATACTTTTTGCCCCACGCAGGGAGTTGTTTAAGATGAATCTTTCTGGAACTTTGGCACCGGAGATTGGTCTCCTGTCTCAGCTGAGAAACTTGTAAGTGTAGTATAACTCTATTATCAGTTAAAGTTGCTAACCACTCCCTTCGTTCATAAATGCGAGATGTTCTAACTTTTTCTGAATCGAATGTATATAGACACATTTTAGTGTGTTTGTTCACTCATTTTAGCCCGTTTATAGTTCATACTTAAATATTCAAAACACCTTATATTTGTGAACAGAGAGAGTAAATTCAGTGCTTTCAAGTGGTTCTTCAATATTACCTAAAAAAAGTGTTTTTGTTTCAACATTGCATTTCATGTTTTCTTGTTAAAAGGGAACCACTTCATGTTTTAGATGTAAAGTGGATTTTCATTAAGGCCCAGATTATCTGACAAAATATATTTATGAAAATGACATAACCAGATTGTTCCATTTGAACTGTTTCTATCTTTATTCTGCATTGTGCCATAAGGTACCAAACGTATGTGAGCTAACTGCTATATTTCTCTATTTTGGAAGGAATTTTATGTGGAACAATTTGACTGGTAACATCCCGAAAGAGATAGGCAATATCACAACACTCAATCTTATGTAAGTTCTCTTATCTAAGCTAACTTCCATACTCATTTGCCAGTGTGGACATGAACCCCTGCTACTGTTTGTCTTGCTAGGCCACATGTTGAAAATGGCAGAATATTTATATCATCCTTTTCTCCTTTTTGTTCTCCAAAACAAATAAAAGTCGATGTATCTGATTCAGCATTTGGGGTTCTTTTTCCTCATCTTTTACGAAAAAGGGTTTCCCCCCGCTTTATATTTAAAAGGGGTTAGCATTTGTCTTTTGTCTCATCTTTTTAATGTTAGACAACACAATGGGTCAATTCTATTTTCTGTTGTTTATCTAAAACGTGAAGTAAATTGGCTTAAACAACATGGCTTTGGATGTACAGAACTTTCAAATGCATATTTTCTCTCAAATATATATGTACATAACTTCCTAGCCAGTTTTGTATATATCTGATTTTTACCTCATCTTAATTAGTTTAGCACATCTTTGAACAATTTTTCATCTTGTGGCAATATTTGGTGTGGATTTTTCCTCGTACCCTTCTACATTCCCTTTTGTCCAGACATAAATGTGTCACTATCTAGTATTTTCCTTCAATTCTACATGGAAGATGAGTACAATGTCTCTAGATACAAGTAAACATTCATAATAATCTTCATTTTCTGCAGAGCTTTGAATGCTAATCAACTATCTGGTTCCCTACCAGATGAGATTGGCTATCTCAAGAACTTAAACAGATTGCAAATTGACCAAAATCAAATATCTGGACCCATACCTAAGTCGTTTGCTAATTTAACAAGCATAAAGCATCTGTAAGTTTCAGGATCATAACCTTCTCACTTGCATTCGTACATTGCCTCTTATTTAAGCATCTTTCTAATATTGACTCTCTTTTTACCTTTAGTCACATGAACAATAATTCATTAAGTGGGCAAATTCCATCTGAGTTGTCCAGATT